CCCCAAAACCCCAAAACCCCAAAACCCCAAAACCCCAACAGGAATTTAGACTATTGGAAGTGAGATTTTAAATTTGTGTTAGGAATTCTGTGAAGAGGGATCTAAGAGTGAGGGATCTGAACTTGTGCGGAGAGAGTCAGAGCGGGAAAATTTGGAGAATGAGTTACTGAAGAAGGAGTCTGAGCGGAGATAAGGGGTTCGGGAAAGAGTTGATTGGGATTTTGGGGGTAGCAGAAGAGATGAAGGGCATTGCAGGCTTTGATAGTAATGGTTGATTACTGTTTTCATGCTGATCATCATTGTGGTGATTGGGATAAGATCTCCAAGGATGTAGAAAGAGATGATGAATAAGGGGTAACCAAAGGTATTGTTGTGTAAAGAATGCTCAATAAAAGTCCTATCACGATCGACCACAAACCTGATCAAATTCTCGACCCCTCTCAAATACATCGGGCCTGAAATAAACATCACACTCAGGACCACTCTTTTCTTCATCTGCTTCGCTTGCACTGGGGAAAACTTCTTCAAGCACTGGTAGTAGTACCTGCCCACTAGGATGAACACAGTTGAGACTATGAAATATCAAACAGTAAACATCATAAAGTACAAATCTTCAGTAAGTACCTTCTCCTCAAATCCTCAAGCAACCACAATAATAACTAAAAGAAATACTAAAATGATAGCTTGGGCAGTCCCTAAAAGTACATCAATTATCCTTCTGCCTGCCTTCATAGATCGTCTAAGATACTGCTTAATCTCCTGGCTCTGGTAGATCCAATTAAAAAAGCTGAACATCACTGAGGATATCATAAAGAACAAAGGCATAGAGAATAGGAAACCTGTTTGACAAGCAGAAGAAGGGAAATGCTTTCAGTGGTCTTTGGACCTATAAATAAAGTAAAGTTCAAATATTTTAGGAAAAATAGCTGAAAAGTGAAAAGAATGGGAGGTTTTTAGTAAAAGAACTTTTCTTACTTTCCGAAGTTGAAGTGTATGTGGTTAGCTATTTGGACGATTCTGGAGATGAGGGAGAGGTTTGCAGTGAGGAGATACATTAGGATTCATTTATATGATAGTTTGTAGATCTTGGTAAATCTGTATGTGTAATATAAGAATATTGGAATAATTCAAATAGTCAGAGCCAACATCAATATCATCGATCCAAGGTAAATACTACAAGGACCTTTTTCTACGTCATAATTATCTTCCATTTAATTATATGTTATAATATTCCACTCCTTGAGAGATCATAGGGGTTTTGGGGTTTTGGGGTTTTGGGG